CTAGGTAACTAGAAGTTAAAGATTTTGAAAGGAGGAAAGTGAGGGAAAGGTGGAAAGGAGGAAAGGAGGAAACGTGATGGCTGGGAAAGGAAAAAGGAGTGCAACGACAAAGCTGTGGTGAGGACAGATAATGGTTGTAGAGGGACACCAGGAAAGTTGAACTGACAGCAGGTTATGGTCAGATAGAGTCTCTCAGAGTTAAGAGACTGTGAAGGTAGAATACTTATGAATAATGATGATGAGATTAAAGATATGATCCTCTTGTGTGGCTGAGGTGTAGGATAGTGGTGGACCCTAGGAGTTGAGGAACCTGATAAACTGTAAAGTGAGGTTATTTGAGGGGACATTAACAAGGAAATTGACATGACAAAGCATAAGGATAGGATCTGGAGTAGAGAAGACTGTGAGCCAGGTACTAAGTTCCTTGGGAAAGGCTAGAGAATGTCTCAGAGGCTAAAAGATAAAAGCCGCCAGTACTGTTACACTCTGTCCTGATCAGACCACACTATAGCACTATGTTCAATTCTAGAGACCACAGTTTAGAAAGAATGTAATTAAGCAATTAATTGACAAGTATTTATTAAACATTTACTATATGCAAGACACTATGCTAAGGCTGGGGAATATTAAAAAAAAAAAAAAGGCAAAAACACAAAAACAGTCCCTGCCTTCAAGGAGCTTACATTATAATGGAGGAGATAATATGTAAACAGGTACATACAAGATACACAGGCCAAATAAAGGAAATATTCTCTACAGATGGCAAGGCTCTTCAAAAATTCCTTTTCACAGATGATATTGTACTAATTTCATCAAGTTCTAGCATATTACAAAGCTTCTTCAATAAGCACAATCAAAAATAAGATGAACACATTGTTCAGATTATAACGTGCCCACTGTCAGTCTCTTACATATTATATATGTATGTATGTATGTATGTACGTATGTATGTATGAAAAATGAGCTGAGCCAAGGATTGAACTGAAGGAGAGGAAATACACAGCATGCTTAATGATCCCAAGAAAATGACTCCTTGCTACCAAAGCCCATCTTTTACCACCAATATTCTCCCAGGGATGCTATTTTGCTACATACCATGAAACACCACAAGAACCAAAACTGTAGATAACTCAAAGGAAACAGAAATATGGATGCCAGATGTAAACAGCTAATACTGCCAATGTGAGAAATTATGTAAAAGGCAACATCTATGACATGTAGGACAAGAAGAAAGGTGAACCAGTCATGGCAATGAGAGTAAGGAATAACAGATGAGCAGCCTAAAAGCAACCCCAGCAACCACAAAATATATAAAGAACCAAAGGCCTCTAGCAAGTTGGGTGGATATTCTATGAAGAATTTATACAAAGACATAAATGTGATACGTTGCATCAATTGTCCATCTACAACAGGTCAACAGGTTCTTTCCAAGACTTCTTCCCTAACTGCTTCTGTCTTCCTAGTCACCAGAGAATCTGACTATTGGGAATCCCCTAATGGCAAAAGATAGTTGTAATTTATTTCCTATGTAGAGTCCCAAGTCTTTTCCAGAGCTATTTTGTATACTGGCGGAGTGCCCTATTTTTCAGGCCTTCAGTATGTAGAAGCTCTCTACCAATCCAAGTAAAAAACGTAAACTCCTTAAAGGCATAGACTTTCATTTTTGTCTTTGTATCCCCAACACCCAGCATAATCCCTTGCACATAATAGGCCCTTAACAAAAGTTAGCTGAATTTAATTTTAAAAACCACATAGGATGAGAAAGCATAGAGGGGTAGCAATCAAAACACACTCTTTCAGGGTAGAGGCAGCAGGATTTTGTTTAAAAAAAAAAACAAACCTTCACATTTACAGTGTATGATAATGTTTTACAAGATGCTTTCTACACAATGATCATATGAGGTCAGTAGTTCAAGTATTATCCCCATTTTACAGATGTAGGTACTGTGACTCAGAAAAATGAAATAATTTGCTCATGGTCACAGAACTCTTTAAGTTTATGGGGAAAGATTTGATCTCCAGTCTCCTAACTCTGAGAGTCCAATACTCCTATTCACAAGGACAAGCTGCCCTTCAGAAAGATTTTGCCTAGAGTAAAACCACCTGCATCGCTAACTTAAATTAATGCTGTAACTGGTACAATATCCTAATTTGAAATCAGCAAGTCTGATTCTTCCTTTTCAAACATTTGTCAATTGCAGGAGGAAGACCACAGGACAGGGTAAAAACCCATGTGAATGTACCAGTCAGCTTTGTCTACTAGACACACACAGGCATATGACAGACTGGAGTATTGCTAATGTGACTGCCAAAAAAAAAAGAACAAAAAACTTCAATTCAGATATAAGGCTACACTTAGTCACCCTATGACATAATTTGTGTAGAAAGTGTTTGTTTCTATGATGCTGCTTTATAATCCCTCCTTTCTTTATTTTCAACCACGCTTTATACAGACAGTGAGGTAATTAATGGATAATGCTGGACCTGAAAGCAGGAATACCTGAGTTCAAACCCAACCTCTGACATGTTACCAGTTGTGCAACCATGGGCAAGACAATTAACATTTCTGAGTCTTTGTTTCCCCATCTGTAAAATGGAGATAATAATACTTCTAGTACCTATTTGTGAGGTTCAAGTGATATAATATATAAAAAGTGACTTGCAACTTTTAAGCGCTACATAAATGTTAGTTACTAATGCACCCTACACAAAGTAGGCAATTAATAAGTATACTTAATAAATAAATATTATTACAGAAATATATTAATAATAATAGTCAAAATGAAATACTCTTAAAATCCATTAACTCCAAAAATACAGACCTGGATCATCAGTCATCAAGTGTTAAAAGTGTAGAACAATGTAAAGACAGCTGAGTATCTCTTAGCAAAATTGAATTTGCTTTCTCAAGCTCTTCCTGATTTATCTAAGAAACTGGGCCCACATATTTTATAAACCATAAAAATTAAGTTTTCTAACTGCTTTAGGCCCAAAAGAACATTCTGAGCCATTGTATAGCACAATGAACAGCACTCCAATCAGCCTAAGAGGCAGTACAGCACAGTAAAAGAACGAGTTAGAACACCCCCAGTCCTGGGCCCTGCTCCCTATTCTTTAAACAACTCTGTGCCAATCCCAGAATCCCAGAATTTGAGCTGGAAGGAAACTTATTAACAGTTTGGTCTACCCCATCTACCTTCTAAGACAGCTCATTCCATTTCTAGATAGCTGTTGGAAGTTTTTCTCAACATTAAGTTAAATTTGTTCCTTTGCAACTCCAACCACACTCTTAGTTCAAGACTCTGGAGCAAATAATACAAGTCTTCCATATGACAACCCTTTGAGTACTTGAAAACAAATATGTCTCCCCTAAGGATACGGGCTAATTATCTCTAGTTCCTTCTACCAACCATCATAATGGCATGAACTTGAGGACCTTCACCATCCTGGCTCTCCTCCCCTCTCCAGCTTATCTATGTCCTTCCTAAACTATGGTGCAAAGACTTAACACATTGCTCCAGAAGTACTGAAGAGCAATGGGATAATTATCTCCTAGTTCTTATAACCCTCTTGCTTTTGTGGCTGCCATATCATATTGTTATCTCATACTGAATTTGCTCTCCATTAAAATCTCCAGATCTTTTTCTGAAAAATTGCTCTCTATATACGGCTCACCACTTTCTGCTTTTTAGGTCAATATACTGAACCCAAATTTTAGACTTTACTTGTAACGCTATTAAATTTCATCTTATAATATTTGGCCCAACATTTTGGCTCCTGAGATATTTTTTGCAGCCTGTCATCATCTGTGTTAGCTATCTCTTCCAGCTTTGTGTTATCTGCAATCACCTGCCTTCTCTAAGCTTCAAATTCCTCATCCATAAAATGGGGGTATTAACATTTTTATTATTTTGCAGAATTATCAAATAAGACACCTGTGAAAATACTTTATAAGCTTCAAGATGTTACACAAATATCAATCAACAAGCATTTATTAATTGCCTACTTTGTGTCAGAAACTGTTGTAGGTGCTGGGATATGTAAAGGTTAGACAAGACTGGATCCAAGAGGTCACCTAGATCAACCTCCTCATTTTACAGATGCTACAATTCAGGCCCAGACTTATCAAAAGTCCTCAAACTAGTTAATAGCAAATCCAGGGCTAGAATTCAAAATCTAATATTCTTTCCACTACAGTGGAAGTGGAGTGACTACACCATAGCTACACTATTTAAATCAGCAATAACTGATCCAATATCTAAAGAGAACACAGATGTTGAAAGGGATCAATCATCCTTATGATAGAAAGTTCATGAGCAAAACTCAAATAAGTTCTCATGTTTCGTGCCAATTTAAGTATCCTTTGTTCTTTATCAAAATTGGTGTTTCAATACTAAACCAACCTCCAGGAAGTCATTACAGGCCCTAAGAGTCCATATAATACTTTTAGGTTAATGCTAGGGAATACTGCAACTCTGAAAAGACCATGACTCAGTAGGGATATATTCTTACTGATATATCCCTACTTTCAGGTCAATACAAATAACTTCCTAACAATTAAAGCTGTTCAAAAATGGAATGGGTTGCTTCAGTACATAATGAGGGGATTAGACTAGATGACATTTAAATTCTCTTCCAATCTACAAGTCTATAATTTATTTTCTTTCTACAGCATCCCTCCCCTTTCATGCATAGTTACATCATATAAATCAACAGAGGTTTATTAACTCTTACTATGTGTAATTCACTGTGATGAGATTACAAAATGGTATAAAACATGATCCTTGCCCTCAAAAAGCTTAATGGGGGAAGGTACTGAGAGGAGTTGGGTGAAAAGAGTGGGGAAAAGTGTGGCTGAACATATTCACAAATAAGCATGAACAACTAACATCAAATATCTATCAAAACTTTTAACCTTAAAAAAGACAAGATTTGCTTAAGCACAACAAAAAATTCACAGGAATGACTTAGAAATTATTCATTACAACAACCACACAAACTCTTGACATACAAAAATATTTTTATTCAATTTTTTACATGTATGTACTCAAATTTCAATTTTATTAAGCAAAGTAGAAAAACCTAATTCTCTGCCAATCTCATTGTAAACTATTTACAAACCTGGAGGGTGTTGGTATTCACATCATGCAAAAGGAAAAGCAAATATGTGTCCCAGAATTATTCCATTTTCCATGTCCATATGCTGAAATCAGTTCTTACTGCCAAATCGATGTACAAAGTCAGATAGTGTGTATATAGCTCCCCATCCAACCTCAGGATTCATACTGATAAAATCATTCAGGTTCATTTTTGAAGCTAAGAGAATACACAGAAAGAATTTCAGTGAGAAAAATAATTTTCATTTAATCACAACATAATAATTCAAAGAGCTAGAAGCATGTCTATTTTAAACAGGAAAACATACAGTAAATCATTTCACAGAAGGGTAGAATTTCATGAAATTTTAGAGTTGAGAAGCCCCTTGGAGAGCCTATTGTCTATATTTTCCTACAGACACAGAACTAGAGATGTGAATGACATAGAAAGAACTAGAATCCAGACTACCTAACTCATAGTTCAGTTCTTTTTCCAAAGCAGTACCTTATTCATGTACATGAATACATATAGTATGTAGAAATACTATAAATATACATACAAAGAGATACTATTATATAATGACCAACTCTATATTATGATCTTTATAAACATCAGAGAAACAAAACTTACTTTTTCTTCTTGGTACATTTTTCATGCTTTGAACTGGGGTCAGGAAGCTTTTTTAAAAAATATTTTGATAACTGTATTTCAATATAGTTTCAATATACCTATTTTCCTTTGTAAGCCTATGTATTTTGTTTTATGCATTTAAAAAAATTATTAGGAAAAAGGGTCCAGAGGCTTCACCAGACTGCCATAACAAAAAAGGGCAAGAATCACCGAGCTGCAGTTAACAGCAACATTGTAAGGATGATCAACTGTGAAAGACTTAGCTACTCTGATCAAGACAATGATCCAAGATAATTCCAAAGGACCCATGATGCTATTATGCACCTCCACAGAGAGAAGTGATGAACTCAGACTGAAGCATACTTTTTTTTACTTTCTGTATTTTTATTATTTTGTTTGTGTCTTTTGCAACATGCCTAATATGGAAATGTTTTGCATGACCTCATATATATAATCAAAATAAAATGGTTTGCCTTCTCAAGCAGCAGGGAGGGGGAGAAGGGAGGGAGAGAATTTTGAACTCAAAATTTTAAAAAATGATGGTTAATTTTTTTACATGTAATTGAGAAATATTTGATGAAATAAAGAAAAATAATTTTTAAAAATGAATCACTGTGTTGGAAAATTCTCAGATCTATGTAATGAAAATAGTCATTTTTTACATTTTGTTGCAAAATATGAGGGGGGGTAATCTGGAAAAAAAATTCTACAAAAAATTATCACCTGCTTTTCAAAACTAATTCTACATGAAATATTTCTTCTACACTATGGATGGCAAGTGTTATCCAGCCCTAAACTCTCAAAAGACCTCTAGTCTTGCATCTCCAACTGCCTATTTTACTTCTCAAATTGAATGTCCTAATGAAGCTAGGGAGCTCAATAAATATACCACCAGTCCTAGAATCAGGAAGAGCTGAGTTCAAATCTGGCCTGAGATATTTACTATCTGTGTGACCTTGGGCAACTAATTTAACCTGTTTGCCTCAGTTTCATAATTTGTAAAATGGGGATAATAACTGCACCTATCTCCTAGAGTTGTTATGAGGATTAAATGAGATAATAGTTAGAGAGTGCTTAACAGTTTCTGGCATATAGTAAGCACTAAATAAATGTTTTTATTTATTATTATTATCTTAAACTGGATATTTCTAAAACTGAACTCATTATCTTTCCCCCCAAGATCCTCCCCACTTCCTAGTTTTCCTATAATTGCCATCAACTAACTTCCCTGGTACCCAGGCTCACAACCTAAGTATTACCTTGGACTCCTTCTTCTCTCTCACCTCTCATATCCAATCTGTTGCTTTCTCCTGTCAATTCTACTTCTACATTATTTGTAGTACATGCTTCTTCACTCCTCTGATATGCTACTGGGGTGAAGCCAAGATGATGGAACAAGGCAGAAACTCACCTGAACTTTCCCAAATTCACTGCCAAACAACTATAAAATGACAACTCCAAACAAATTCTGGAGAGGCAGAATCAAGAAAAGGATGGGATGAAATAATTTTCTAGTCCAAAACAATTTAGAAGGTTAGCAGGAAAGGACTGTCTCACTGGGGCAAAAGGGTGGTACAGTCTAGTTCAGGCAGTGTCCAGCCAGGCCCCAAAGCCCCAGCACAACCCAAAAGCAAGGCTTTTGCTTCTTGTTTGGGACAATGCCCCTTCCAACACAGGAGCAGAGCCCAACTTTAACATAAAAGTCATGAATTAGGCTGGAAAAAATGAGCAAAAAATAAAAAATTAACCTAATCATAAAAAATTACTATGGTGAGAGGGAAGATTAAAATACAAACTCAGAAGAGGACAACAATATCAAACTGCCATATGCAAAGCCTCAAAGAAAAAATGTGAATTGGTCTCAGGCCCAAAAAGAATTCCTAGAAGAGTTCAAAAAGGAATTTAAAAAGCAAATAAGACAGGTAGGAAAAAAACTGGAAAATGAAATGAGAGTGATACAAAAAAATCATGAAAAAAGAGTCCACAGGAGGCACAAAAAAAATAGAAAAAGATGCACAAAAATTCACTGAAGAAAACTCCTTAAAAAGTAGAATTGGCCAAAAGGAAAATTAGATACAAAAGCTTAATGAAGAAAATAATTCCTTAAAAATTAGAATTGGGCAAGTGGAAGCTAATTACTCCATGAGACATCAAGAAACAACAAAACAAAATAAAAAGAATGAAAAAATAGAAAAAATGTAAAATATCTCATTGGAAAAACAAGTAACCTAGAAAATAGATCCAGGAGAAAGAATTTTAAAATTATTGGAGTATCTGAAAGCCCTGATCAAAAAAAGAGCATGGACAGCACCTTTCAAGAAATTATCAAAGAAATCTGCCCTAATATCCTAGAAATAGAGTAAAATAGAAATTGAAGGAATCCACCCAAGACCTCCTGAAAGAGGTCCCAAAACGAAAACTCCCAAGGGTATTACAGCCAAATTCCAGAGCTCCCAGTTCAAGGAGAAAATATTACAAGCAGCCAAAAAGAAACAATCCAAATACCATGGAGCCACAGTCAAGGTTACACAGGATTTAGCAGTTTCTACATTAAAGAAGGGTTTGGAATATGAGATTCCAGAAGGCAAAGGAGCTAGAATTACAACCAAAAATCACCTACCCAGCAAAACTGTGTATAATCCTTCAGGGGGAAAAAATAGACCTTCAATGAAAAGGGAGTTTCAAGCATCCCTGATGAAAAGACCAGAGCTGAACAGAAAAATCTGATTTCCAAATATAAGACTCGAGAGAAGTACAAAAAAGTAAACAGGGAAGAGAAAACATAAAGGATTCAATAACGCTAAATTGTTTACATTCCTACACAGGAAGATAATACTTTTAATTCTTTAGAACTTTATCATTATTAGGGCAGTTAGGACTATACATAGAGAATACAGGTATAAATTGACTATGATAGAATGACAGACAAAAAAATTAAGCAGTGAGAAAGAGGATTGCAGTGGGAGAAGAGGGAAGGGAGAGGTAGAATAGAATAAATTATCTCACATTTAGAGGTGTGAAAGAGCTATTACAGTGGGGGCAGCTAGGTGGTACAATGGATAAAGCACCGGCCCTTAAGTCAGGAGGACCCGAGTTCAAATCCAGCCTCAGACCAAACACTTGACACTAGCACTGTGACCCTGGGCAAGTCACTTAATCCCAACTGCCTAAAAAAAAAAAAAGCTATTACAGTGAAGGGAAAGATGAGGGGGTGGGGATGGTGGGCAATGCTTGAACCTAACTCTTACCAGAATTGGCTCAAAGAGGGAATAACATACATGCTCATTTGGGTACAGAACTCTATCCTACCCTACAGGGAAGCAGGAGGGGAGGGGAGATAAGAATAAGGGGAGGAGGCACTGATAGAAAGAGCAGACTGTGGGAGGAAGTGGTCAGAAGCAAAACACTTGTGAAGAGGGACAGGATGAAAGGACAGAAAGAAATACACAGTTGGTAATCATAACTGTGAATGTGAATAGGGTGAACTCTCCCATAAACCGGAAGCAGAGAGCAGAGTGGATCAAAAACTAGATCCTGCAGCATGGTGTTTACAGGAAACACATCTGAAGCAGAGAAATACACAGAGCAAAACTAAGGGTGGAGAGTAGAACCTCTTATGCTTCAGCTGAAGTAAAAAAAGCAGGGGCAGCAATCCTGATCTCAAAGCAAAAGCGAAAAGAGATAAGGAAGGAAACTACATCCTGCTAAAGTTACCGCAGACACAGTAATGGCAACACTAAACATATATGCACCATGGTATAGCATCCAAGAAACTAAATGAGTTACAGGAGGAAATAGACAATAAAACTATGCTAGTGGGGACCTCAACCCTCCCCTCTGAGAACTTGATAAATCTAACCAAAAAATAAACAAGAAGGAAGTGAATGGAATTTTAGAAAAGTTAAATATGATAGACCTCTGAAGAAAACGGAATGAGAATAGAAAGGAATATTTTTCTCAGTTGTACATGATACCTACGCAAAAACTGACCATGCATAGACCATAAAAACCTCATAATCAAATACAGAAAAGCAGAAATATTAAATGCATCCTTTTCAGATCCTAATGTAATAAAAATTACATTCAATAAAGGGTCATAGAAAAATAGATTACAAATTAATTGGAAATTAAATAATCTAATCCTAAAGAATGAGTGAGGTCAAAGAACAAATATCATAGAAATAATCAATAATTTCATTAGAGAGAATGACAACAATGAGACAACATACCAAAATTTATGGGATGCAGCCAAAGCAGTACTTAGGGGAAGATTTATCTCTCTAAATGCTTACATTAATAAAATAGAGAAAGGGCAGATCAATGAAAGGCATACAACTAAAAAAACTAGAAAAAGAACAAGTTAAAAACCCCCAGTTAAACACAAAATTGGAAATCCTGAAAATCAAAGGAGAAATTAATAAAATTGAAAGAAAACCACTTAACTTATCTAACAAAGAATAACTAATTAGTCATGAATCCCTCACACATGTCCATTTTCACTTACTCATATAATAAAGCAGCCTTTAAAATCAGTAATGCCTATATCTACCATAAGAAAGCTTCTCATTAAAATTTGATTGTTACAAAGGTAGCCATTACATCTCAAAACCAGCTTTTAATTTTGCTGTGTCTCTGCCTTATCTCCCCAAATGACTAGCCTTATCTCCCCAAACGACTAAGTGACCCCACTACACACCTTTAAAAGTCATAAATCAAACAATTTAGAAAGAGAAACCTTTTAGTTATTAAAAATTCCAAAGATGACAGAAGTTTTCTTATTTGCAAACTCAAAACACATCAAAAGCAAAGAATACAGGTCAATGTTAATATCTCAGAGGAGTTATATATAGGTCGTAAGATCCAAAAGTAAAAAGCTGTGAGCCAACATTTCACAGATGAGTCAGCAGGTGGTGCAGGAACAACATGACACATGTGGTCACAAGTCTACGTTCTGAGTAGACTATTCACATAAACATTACTATCTCTTACATAGTACTAAAATGAACACTTCAGCCCATGTAAAAGAAGCCAATAGTAATATGTGTATATTTTTTATTTTATAAAGATCCACACTGACTTTTAAAATTATTCCAGAATCCTCTGAACTTCTAAGTCTCCTTCATCCATGTCACAGTAATCCATCACATTCTTTAACTGTGCCAGTACAGAGCTACACAATTAAAAATAATAGCTCACATTCACACCATACGTTAGTATACAAAGCACTGTTCTCACAAAAATCCTGTGAAATAGGATAGATATTATTATTGCTATCCTATGGGGAGACTCAAAGAGGGTAAGTGCTGCTATTTAAGAGCGGCAACATTTTATTAATAGATCTATTTTTTCCAGAAGGGATAAAAAGGTTTTTTCCTTCTCATCCTATGCTATTTTGCCTGTGATCCAAGTATCATCCTCATTTCCCTCCCTCCATAACCCTGGTCTCTACCAAGTCCATCCTCTCTGAGAGATTAGTTTTTGCCTTTTCTTACCTGAAACCACCCTACATGCCATTCCTAGCCAAATCCTTGCCATCCTGCCTACACTCCAGCTATCAACCTCATCTCTCTCCCACCACAAGCCTGGACTCTGTTCCTGGGTTCCCTAGGGCTTAAAAAATTTTTTTCATTTCTTCAACAGAACTTGGCACCTGATTGAATATAGGGAGTGAGGGAAAAGAGTCAAAGGGCATGCTGAGGTTTCAAATCTCGGTAACTGGCAGGATGAGGGCACTTTCAACAGAAACAAAGAAATTGGCAGGAGAGGTTGCTTGAGGAAGGGAAGATGATATAATATAGAAATCCATTATAGCCTGCTTTTTACTATATTTAATTTATATGATGATTAATTTTTAATCACTTGATGACAATTTTCGGGAAGTCCATTCACCTAGTGGCAGTCGAATTAATATTTTAGTTACCTCCAACCATCATAAATCTGTCTTTCCTCTTCCATAATCTCCTTTGCCCACTAGACTAATTTTTCACTCACTATTTTCCAAATATAGGGTGGGCAGGTAAAATAGTGATCAATAAAATAAACTGTGAAAAAGAGATTAGGTCATTTAATCTCTCTGTGCTCATTTCCCTACCTAATAAATATACCAAAAATACTAGCACCTGCCACCCCTCACTTCGCAAAATTTTTATAAGATCAATAATAATCTTTAGAGAGGAAAAAAAGCTGTTTGTAAAGTAAACTGAAATAACTGATACTAGCACCACACAAATACAAAGTAGTAGTAGTCTACCTCCAGTTTGAATGCAGGGATAAGGAGGAGGAGGCTCTCTCCAATTTCCACTGGAATCTTTCATGTGAGATCGGTCAGATGCAAAGTTCTTCAAATACAAGTCCGCTCGAATCACTCTAAATTTTCTAAAATTAAATCAAGTACTTGTATCAGAGACAGTTGTCTAACAGGTTGTATATATATTGCATAAGTAAAATTTGGCATGCATTTCAAAAGGTGGCATGTGAGACAATTTTCAGTGATAAAGGAGCTGGCCCTGCTCCCTCTCACTCCTTTGGGGTGGTGAAACAGTGAGACTATATCAGGAGTTCCCCTAGCCAGAAAAAGGTCCCCATTGGTACATAATGCTTTTGAATCAATCCCAAATGCCAGCTCCACAGTAATGTAAATGAGTATGAGGTAAATGAATCATTGGCAATAGCTGCATATGTGGCAAGATAAATAAAATAAAAGTGAATCAGCTGTTAGGTTCCCACTTCAGATAGCACACAAATCACCATTCACTTGCTTACCTTCGAAATTGTGGGTCAATATCATCATCAGACTTAAAGGCATCTTCTACATAAGTGTCAAAGGGACATGGAAATGGCAACACAGTATCAAGATCATAAATGAAACTCTGTCCTCCACTTGAAACATGAAGCAAAACAACATGGTAATCCTAGGAGTAAAAGCCTGAGTTAACTATGTCATTTTATAATTTCCAGGTCCTTTTATGGTTTAAAAAACCCTTTCCTCACAACAACACTGAGATAGGTAGTACAAGTATTATTATCTCCAAAATACAAAGAATTTAAATGAAACCATCCATCCAAGGCCACTCAGATAATAAATGGTAGAGCCAGAACTTGGACCAGTCTCTGGACTTGACATCCAATACTCATTCTACTATATCACTAACAGAGATATACTTAACACAGAAAGTATTATTTTTTTTTTTTTTTGCTATCCACATCCAGAGAAAGACCTATGGAGTCTAAATGCAAATCAAAGCATACTATTTTCACTTTTTTTTGTTTTGTTTGGTTTTTTGGTTTTTCTTTCTCGTGGTTTTTCCCTTTTGTTCTGATTCTTCTTTCACAACATGACTAATGTGGAAATATACTTAACATGACTGTACATGTATAACCTATTGCTCGCTGTCTTGGGGAAAGGGGAGGGAAGGGAAGAAGGGAGAAAAATTTGGAACTCAAAATCTTACAAAAATAAATGCTGAAAACTATCTTTACATGTAATTGGGAAAAAAATGAAATACTATAAAGTGCAAAAAAATATGTTTTTTAGAATAGTCATTTAAAAGTTAAGGAGACTGATGACTTGAGAATAAAATAATTATAGCATTGCTGTCACCTGTTATATTTACATTTTAACTTATTATTGAGATGAGGAAAAAAACCAACCATAATTAAGTAATCTTACGGTAATCTATGGTAGAAACTAATGATGAATTATCTCGGGGAACATTTTAAGCTATCACACGCTATGGACTGAAAGAAGTCAAGTGGAAAGGGCTTTGGATTCTTCCCTTTTAACAAACATAGATTTAACATTTGTAAGAGTAACAACACATAAAATAAATTTTACAAATTCAACTATTTTCCCATATAAATTTGTGCAGCTGCTCATCTTTCCACCATGTAATTTTCATTTTTTTCTAATGGCCTATTTAAGAATCCAGGTGTTGGTAAGGGCAGGAGGGAAGTACAGATATATAATCTTTACCACAAAATCATGATCACAGCTAAGCACTCTAGAGCATGAATCATCCCAGTAATTAGCAGATTCTTTTACCTCCATGGTAATAGAGGGAACGAGACAATATAAGTAAGACCAGGTTTCAAAGCATTTTCCTCACAACAACCCTGTACAGTAGTAGTTAGTGCAAGGACGATTATCCACTTTTACATAGGATACAACTAAGACTGAGAAGTAACTATGTCCAAAAACACATGACTACTTCTTGTGTCTGTCACCTATGTCAGGAGGTAGTTAACGACATGCTTCATCACAGGTCATCTAGAAACATGGTTTATCATTGAACTCATCAGAGCTCTTGAGTCTTTCAAAGTTTTGTTTATTTACAATATTGCTGTGCTTGTACAAATTGTTCTGGTTCTGCTCATTTCACAATGTATCAGTTCATAATTCCCAGCATTCTCTGGAATAATCTCTTATCATTTTTTTACAATGTAATAATATTTCATTACATTCATAGAGAAGAATTTGTTCAACCATTCCACGGTTGTCTAAAAAGGCCATCTAAAGTACTACGTTAGATTCCAGCTATTTGCTTCTATTTATTTTTGTTTGTTTCTTTTTCCCTTTTCAGTCTCCCCCTTTAGGATCAGGAAATTTGTTTTGCTTGTGACTATTCCTTTCTCAGTATTATGTTCCTACTTAATGCGTTCACTCTCCTGCCTCCACCTCCAAGTTCTGCTTGTTTCCCTGCTGAGTTTGGTGTATTTCTACACTGAACAGTGTATGTCTATGTATGTTCAATCCTTCTTTGTTCATTTCAGAGAAGAGTGAGGTTCTTCTGATACCCCAACGCCCATCTTCAATATTTATATATCCTATAGTACTAAGTTCTTTTCTCCCTTCTACACTTGTGCATTCCATTTACCCTCTCTTCTCTTTCCCCTCTTCTAACCTAAAGAACAGAACCAGTACACCTACTATTTTGCTTTTTTTTAAAACTCTTTAAATATTCTTAGAAGACATTAATTTGTTTCTTCTCCCTCTATTAGAATGTTAGCACTACATATAGCTCCTTCCAAGGGCTCAAATAAATTTATCTTTCTTGGTTTCTCTGAATGTTTTTGTTTGTTTCTCAAAGTTCCTACTCAGCACTTTTTGGAGTAAGAAATTAAAACTTTCTACAGTCATATGAAAAAATGCTCTAAATCACCACTAATTAGGGAAATGCAAATCAAAACAACTCTGAGGTACCACATCACACCTATCAGATTGGCTAACATGACAAAACTGGGGGCAGCTAGGTGGTGCAGTATATAGAGCTCTGGCCTTGGAGTTGGGAGGACCTGAGTTCAAATCCGGCCTTAGACACTTGACACTTACTAGCTGTGTGATCCTGGGCAAGTCACTTAACCCTGATTGCCTCACAAAAAAAAAACAAAACACCAAAAACAAAATGACATGACAAAACAGGAAAATGATAAATGTTGGAGAAGATGTGGGAAAACTGGAACACTGATGCATTGCTGGTAGAGCTGTGACCTGATCCAACCATTTTGGAGAGCAATTTGGAACTATGCCCAAAGGGCTATAAAAGTGTACATACCCTTTGATTCAGCAATAGCACTTCTAGGTCTGTATCCCAAAGAGATCATAAAAATGGGAAAAGGACCCATATGTACAAAAATATTTATAGCAACTCTGTGGTGTCAAAGAATTGGAAATTGAGGGGATGCCCATCAACTGGGGAATGGCTGAACAAGTTGTGGTATATGAATGTAATGGAATACTATTATGCTGTAAGAAATGATGAGCAAGGCAGACTTCAGAAAAACCTGGAAAGACTTGTATGAACTGATGCTGAATGAAGTAAGCAGAACCTGGAGAACACTGTACACAGTAACAGTCACACTGTACGATGACTGACTTGGACAGACTCAGCTTTTCTCAGCAATGCAAGGATCTGAAACAACTCCAAAAGACTCACGATGGAAAATTCTATCCACATCCTAAAGAACTATGGAGTCTAAATGCAGATGGAAGCATACTATTTGCTCTCCTTTTCTTTTGCCTTTTGGAATATGGCATTCTAGTATCTCCTCTCATTTATAGAACTAGCCAAGTCTTATACCATCCTATTTGTAGTTCCTTGGTACTTGAACTGCTTCTTCCTAGATGCTTGCAGTACTTTTTCTCTGATGTGGAAATTCTGAATTTTGGCTGTGATATTCCTGGGAATGAGGATGTTAGCAGCTGGCAGCTCAGGAAAGGTTTCTCAGAGTCGTTTTGATTTGCATTTCTCTAGTCAATAGTGATTTAGAGCATTTTTCCATATAACTATAGAAAACTTTAATTTCTTCCTCTGAAAACTGCTGAGTAGGAAATTTGAAAAACAAACAAAAACATTCAGAAAAACCAGGAAAGACAAATTGATTTGAGCACTTGGAAGGAGTTATATGTAGTGCTAACATTCTAACAGAGGGAGAAGAAACAATTTAATGTCTTCTAAGAGTATTTAAAGAGTTAAAAGGTAGAAAATGGTACCTGAACTGTCTTAAAGGAAGAGAGGGCCTCTAAAGCAGAGGTAAAGAAAAGTGAATTCCAAGCTTGTGAAATAGCCAATACAAAGGCACATAGTGTATGTGGGGTACAGTTTTGCTGGTTATTAAAGTTCAGGAGAAGTGATGTGCATTGAGGCTTGAAAAATAGATTGAGCCCAGGTTGTATAGGGCTTTAAAAGCTAAAGAGTAAGGAAGGGGGTTCATATGATCAAACCTACATTTAATGTAGCAGAGTGTAGATGGGCTAGAGAAATGAGAAATCTGAGACTGAGAAACCAATTAGGAGGCCATAGCAATAATCTAAATAAAAGATCATGATGGCCTGAACTAAACCGACAGCTGTGAGAGAAAAGAGATGTGGAGATGTTGTAGAAGAAGATACAGTAAGTTTTGGCAACAGATTGGATACATGGGGAAAGAGAAAGTAAGGAGAAAATTACTTCCTCATCTCACATCATTCAGAAGTAGTCCCCCATGAGAGAAATGATTATTTCTTTCATATATCAATAGCTAAGTACTGAATTAGGACCCACGTTTTTCCCTTTTTCTACTTCCTCTTCCAGAAATCAATCAGTAGGGGAAATCTTGGGCAAAGACTTACTCAGCCAGGAAAGCTAAGTTCTAATCAAAAACAGTAAAGAAATTCTAAGTTTAGGCAAACAGGTGGATTCCTACACATTGTGTTTACTCAGACAGGTCTAGGAAATTGTGAATTCTCCTTCTTGTCAGATGATGATATGGAAATTGATAAATCTCTTTGACCAAGATTTGGGAGCTCAGTGTCACAAGACCCTCATTGGAATAAGCCCACCTCTCGTTATAATATTCATTCTCTCACTGTTAACTAATCAGATTTGACTGCCACCCTCAGTAACACCCACTCTTCCAAGGGCATATAAACTGTGAGCCCACCACGACTCCTCTTTGGTTCAAGAGAAGGGGCCAAACGACCATTCCTTTTATTGATAATATGCTAGTATTATTAATAAAATGATTAATTACTCAGAAACTGTCTCTCAAATTTTTTAAACATCATACCCAATACCTCCTCCTTCACCCTGCCTCATGTGAAGAGATGGCCCTTCTCCTTGACAAAGCTTACCCTTCGTTACGCACAAGTGATCTCATTCCTCCCCAACTGCTCCAACAGACTGTTTCCTTGGTTATCCCCCCTCATGCATTTTCAGTCTCTTACTGCCTATAGCTGCTCTCCTGCTACCTACAAACACTTCTATGACTCCTTCATCCTAAAAATACCCTCACTTGATCCATTAATCTCCTCTAGCTATCATCCCATATCTCTCCTCTCTTTCATGGTCAAACTCTACGAGAAAGTCATCTATAATCAGTGCCTCCACTTCCTTTCTTAGCTGCATGATAATAAATTTTTCAGCCATAAGTCACAAAGACTATATACTAAGGCATCGAAAAGTTGGAATTTATTTCAATCAATCAACAGGCATTCATCAAGTGGCTATTATGTGCAAGGCACTGTGTGCTAGGCATTTGGAATACAAATACAAAAAAGAAACCCACCCTTACTCTCAAGAAGATTAATCCTAATAATGTATATTATTAGTTCTGATAGTGTCAGTAGATGCGACCACACTAACAAAATCATGAATCCTTTAAGTTATAAAGTTTTATTTTAGCCTTACCTTTATTGTCATCATCATTTATCTTTTATCAACAAAGTAAATACCATCCAGAAATCATTTATGGATTGTCTTACCCAAATGATAGGTCCATCTCCAGGTCTGGCCTGCTGCTTCCAGATTGGGATCTACAAATACAGGTTTTTTCAGTTCAGCTGAATTTTCACTTAATCTTTCATATCAGTATAAAAGCTAATATACAATTAATCAGATATAAAGTAGTAGATACTTTTGTCCCAGAAAACAAAACTAGCAGTAATGGATGGAAATTGTGGAGAGATAGATTCAGGCTTGACTTAAGGAAAAGCTTCCTAACAATTAGAGCTGTCCAAAAGTAAAATGGGCTCCCTTAAGAGGTAGTAGGTTCCCCTTTAATACAAATCGTCAAGCAAAGGCTGAATGACCACTTCATAACTATGTTATAAAGGAAATTCTAATTCAGGTAACAGTTTAACTAGAAGGCCTGAGTTCTGTTCCAACTCTGAAATCCTATGATTCCATAACATGTTTTTCTTTAAGGCTAGTTTTACTTCCAATTTCTCTAAGAATACATAATCAATAAGAGGTACATGAATTCCAAGAACTCTAATTAACTTTTAAATAATAATAATAATAATGATAGGAGTTGATATTTACATAGCACTACAGAATTTTAAAGTGTTCTCTCATAAAAATCTTGTGAGGTAGATAATGAAAATATTATTAATTTCCCTTTTACAAATGAAGAAACTGAAATTCAAAGATGTTACATGACTTGCCCATGGTCATATAGCTAGTGAGAGTTAAGTAACAGAGATAAAACTCAAATCCAAAATTTTTTGGCTTAAAGTCCAGTAACCTTTCTACAATTCAATATTATTACCTTAATGAGCAAACTAAAACTATGCTAAAAGAAAGAACATTTAAAATTATAGAAGGAGCCCATTACAGGTAACTTTCACTTACAGATAGGGCCAAGACAAAATCATGCACATTTTACCTTAACAATGCATTTGTAATGTTCATCCAATTACACAACTTAAAACAATAGTTACAATAAAATAATCGCTAACATTTGTACAGTATAGTAAAGTTTGCAAAGAGCTTTATACATTATCTAATTCAGTCCTCACAAAAACCCCAGGAGGCTATCATTATCCCCATTTTACAGATGAAAAAAAAAAATGAGGCTAATAGAGATTAAGTGACTCTCCTAGGGTCACACAGCTAGTAAGCATTTGAAGTAGGATATTAACTTGGGTCTTCCAGACTTCAAGTCCAGTCCTCCATCTACTATACCATCTAAGCCCCTCACATATAAGATAGGCTTTTATTATAAAATACAGTCCTAAAGTTTGCATACCTTCCCTGCTACTAGTTAACAACTTACCATCCTTCTCTCATTAGATATGAAGACTGCATAACATTCTTCTAAAGGATATTGATCATGGTTTTTTATATATTCACAAAGCTTCCAGATATTTTCTTCACTGAAATAAAAACATTTGGTTTTTAACATTTTTATTTCATAAAATTAAAGGAACATGCTATTTCTTCCTATTAAACAGGAAAATAAAATGACCATATTATCATCCAGTTATAAATTTATCAACAAACAGATCTCTAAACATTCTGTGATCTCTTCACCACTGAATATGTATTGATAGCTCTAGTCCTTAACAGCTACAGACACCGACTGAAGTCTTTAGAGTTCTGCTCATGTCTCTCCTATCTTAAGAGCTACCTAAAATTGTGACCTCAAATACAGCCACACCAACTCTGACACATACCAAGTAGGTTAATTTATTTCTGTAGCTTGTAGGCAGCTATGCCTAAGACTGAAAATAACATGTAAAAATGAATAATGTGAATGGCATTAGAAACTGTAACCAATGCATATAAAATACAGTCTTTCAATTTCTTAAGCCATGGTGATATCTGTGGTCCTATTGCTTTCCCATGACTAAGCAAAACATATAGAAGCACCCCCAGGTACACATATTCCTAAGGTTATCTCCCCAAATCATTCCGTGATACCTTTACTAAAAAGATAGGAAAAAGGCAAAAATTATTAAATTTCTGTCAGTTCAGAGTCCAAAGCTTTAAGGCCCTAGGAAACTAAATCAGTATAGATTAGAACTGGAAAGTTACTGTTAGAACTAGAAAAGCACCTAAAAAATAATTCAATCTAAGCCCTTCATTTTATGGATGAAAAAACTAAGGCCCAAGTAGGTAAAGGGATGTATGTGTCCCAGATCCCAAAGCTACTTAGTGACACAACTTATATTTTCTCTAAGCACAACATAATCCAACTTTATCATATAAGCAACTAAAAAGTTTGCTAACATTTGTACATATGCTGTTTTAAGGTTTACAAAACATTCTTAGATACATTATCTCATTTGATCCTCACAACTCCATGGGAAGTAGGTAATATTATCCTCATTTTACAGATAAGGTAACTAATGATCTGAAGCTGATTTGACATACCTGTATATATAAGTGTGAGACTTATATATGAGTATATATAAGGGTGAGACTTAAACCCAGGTCTTTCCTGATTCTAAATTCCAGATTCTCAAAGCCTATACCCTAAGATTTTCAGAAATAACAAACCCTATCAATTATTTCTAAAAGAAAGAGAGGTAATATGGTATAGTAGCCAGAGTTTTAGACTTAGAGGCAAAGAAACTTCAATTCAAACGCCACTTCTAATACCTATTAGTTGTAGACTATGGGCAAATCATTAAGTTTAGCTAAGCTTCAGTTTTCTCATTTACAAAATGGGGTTGATATTACCTGTAAGACCTAACAAAGTTGTGAGGCTCAAATGAATTACCAAGTAAATGCACTTTGCAAACCTTAAAGCCTGATGTAAACTTTATTTATTATTTTTAAAAATGAACACTCTTTATACTTCTGCCTGCAGATATCTAATTTTGATTATTTTACTCCCAGTATTAGACCAAATTTACCTACACTGACTTGGGGCAAATGTTTAAATAGAAAGCACTAGAATATGCATTTTAATCTGTTTTCTGGTTTTAAATGGGAAAACAGTAAATAGCAAAATCATGATTACATCACAGAATCTCAGAGCTGAAAGGAACATTAAGAAATTCAATTCAACAAACATTTATTCAGCACCTATGTGTATGAGACCCTGAACTAGGCTCCTGGGGATATAACTAAAAAATGTGGCACAAATATCTAGTCCAAACACCTACATTATGAAGATTAAGCAGCACTCAAAAAACAGAGGAAGAATACTTGGGTTTACGGCTCTGCTTCACTACTTATGACAGAATAATACACCATAACCCTTCCCTCACAGAATTTTGAGGAAAAAGTGAAATAATATATGTTGAAGTGTTCTGTACCCTTCAAGCACTACAGAAATTTGAACTATCATTGCAAATTATAATGGTTCACATTCCTACAGTGTTTTAAGATTTAGAAAATACGGTGCTCCCAATAGCCTTAGTATGATTATTATCCATTTCAGACATGGAATAACTGAAGTTAGAGAGGTCAGTTGCCTAAACCAGTAAGAGTCGGTGAATGGGCTGAAATCCTTGTCTTCCTGAATATAGTTTTAGGGCTGGATCAGCTACTAAGGTCGTCCTAATTTTTCATACTCATTTCCCACTACGAAGGTACTCCTGTACTATTTATTCTAAGTATTTTCAGTGCTTCACCAACTGCCCCCTCTCCCTCATCAAAAAAAGGAACAAATCGCATATTCTATTTATGATAAGGTCTTGTCATAAAACAGTGTCTTTCCCGGCTCGACTCTCTCTACCCTGAAAGGAGGAGTTACTGTCATCGCCAGCAGAGAAAACCACAAGAGCTCTGGAGTCAAAAGACCTGGATTCAAATACTGACTTGGTCATTCATTACCAAAGTCACCTCGGCCACTTAGGGATCGATCGAGTCCCCCCTCACTTTACTGAATGAGATGAAAATGAAAATCGAGACCTAAAGGGGGTGAAAGGGCTTGCCCAGGCTAGGTCACTGCCCCAAACCCCGCCAGGCCTCAGTTTCCCCACCTGTAAGACGAAGGGGCGGAGGGGAGGGGGGTTGGCCTGGTTGAGCTTCTGCTCTAGGGTCTAGAAGCCAGGCCCGGGCCCGAGCGGGAGAGAAGCGGAGGGGTGCCCGGGTCCAGGGCCGCGCAGGGTAGGGCTCAGGGAAAGCGGCTACGGCAGACCCAGGCCGGCCCGGGGCGGGGGCGGGGCTGAGGCCGGCCTCGGGCCCCTTACCAGTAGCAGCTGCTGTAGGTGCAGGCGTCCCGGGGCGGGCTGGCCGGCTGGTAGTCGCAGGAAACGGATTCCTCTCCCTCCATGGCGGGCGGGCAGGCCCGGGCCCGATCCTCCCGGCCGTCCCGTCGCCCTCCCTCCACAGGCCGGGGGAGCGCGGTCCGAAAGCCTGGGAAACGAGCAGCCGCAGAATATGCAGAGGCCGCGGGGTACGGGGCCGCGGCCGCGGAGCCGAGGGGGAGGGGCCAGGGGGCGGGGCTGAGGAGGACCAGGCGGAAGCCGGGGGGCGGAGCAGAAACGTGAGGGCGGCCTTGGGTAAGAGTCGGGTTGAGTCGGGGGTGGGGCTGGGAAGGTCGGAGCTGGGGCAGGTTGTTGTGTGAGGGCGGGAAAGGCGAAGGTGGGGCGGGGTCGAGTCAGGGGCGGAGCCAGAGGGGGCGGGGCAGAGAGTTTTTGACTGAATTTTTTTTGACTTGAACTCTTGACTCTGCTGAGGAAACGATTCGTTTCTTAGAAAAATAGTCCAGAATCTACAATCAGAGTCCTAATTTATTTCCTGTAAAAAATTAATTATAGTAATCACCATGTTAAATATACCAAAAGACTCAAAATGAAAAGAGAATGTGATTGTCATTCAGCTTAATGATGTAATTAGAGGTAGCATAATATTGATTGCATGTTGTAGAATTCTTTCTAAAATGGAGAAGGGGGGAGAATCTGCAGATGTAGGATATGTAGATCCTGCTGTACTGTAATTTCATTTTCTGCCCACATTTTTCTAGATGAATTTTTTTTTTGCCAGATTTTATTACCCCTGTTTTACTTTTCTCAAAGGAACAGGCATTTAAAAATAAAGTTCACATGGGTGCTCATGAGGATTACGAGTATGGACCTGAGATTTCACTGTTACCTGGATCACATGTGTTGAAGAAGTCCCACAGCTAAGGAAGACCAGAAACTTTATAAGAGAGCTTCCTGGAGTACTGAAAGGTTTAGAGATTTGCCCAGGATCATCAAATCAACATGTATCAACAGGAAGACTTTAACCCAATCCTTCCTGAATTCATGGACAGCTCTTTATCCACTACACAGCAGCTACCTCTATTTATTTAGACACTGGGATACAAATAGAATAAAATATAGTGCATGCTTCCAAAGAGAAAGAAAGAAAGAGAGAAAAAAAGAAAGAAAGAAAGTCCCTGGCCTTGTGGCCTTCAGGGCATATAGCTCTAGGCCCTAGAGCAGAAGCTCAGCCAGGCCAACCCCTCCTTCCCTCCACTCCTTCGTCTTACAGGTGGGGAAACTGGCTTTCTTGTGTTTCTGCCTCATCAGCCCGATAAGCTCCATGAGGGCAGGGGGCCCCTCCTCTTATCTGTACTGGGTTTCTATGCTCAGCACTGAGCAGATAACCCATAATAGGTTCCTAGATCTAGAGGCCCAAGGGACCTCACAAATGAGACAGCTGAGGTGCTTATTGTATTCTTGCATTGAAAAAATCATTCATCCAAGTTTGGCCCTTGCAAAAGACCTTAGAGGTCATCTAATCCTCTAAGACCATAGATTTAGAGCTGGAAGAGACCTGGGGGTGATCCGGTCCAACTCTCCTGATCCCCTACAATTATCCCTATTTTTCAGGTGAGGAAACTCAGATGAAGCCAAAAGATCAAGTGATTTATCTGCCTGAGGTCACATGGATAGTGGGGAGGCAGAATCAAGATTCAGACTCTGGACCCTGTGATACCAAGCACTGCATCAGTCTGCCTCCTCATTTCACAAATGAGGAAACTGAGGCCCAGAGTAACTGACACAGAGAGTTATTCATTCTAACACAAGAAAACCCATTAAAGAAACAAACAAACAAACATGAAGGTCTACTTACTGCCAGGCACTTTGCTTACAACTGTGAGAGAGATGAATCCTTCCCCTCCAGAAACTCACAGTGCTATGTAGAAGATAAAAAAATATTCCATTCTTAACTCTAGCATTTTCACTGGCTGTCCTTCATGCCTGGAATTATCTCTCCTCAACTCCTTCTCCAGACTTTCCTGGGTTTCCTTCAGGTTCCAGCTAAAATCACACCTTTTCAGGAAGCCTTTCCCAGGCCTCCACAAGGTGCTTTCCCTCTGTGACTACCCTAACTTTATCCTGAATATGCCTTGTACACAGATGTTTGCATGTGTTGTTCAGTCATTTCAGTCATACTTGACTTTTCTTGACCCCCATTCAGGGTTTTCCTGACAAAGATACTGGGATGGTTTGCCATTTTACAGATGAGGAAACTGAGGCAAACAGAGTTAAGCGACTTGCCCAAGGTCACACAACCAGTTCCTTGAGAGCAGACAAACTGTCTTTTGACTTTCTTTAAATCCCTATCCCGTAGCACAGTGCCCACCAAAAAGTAAGTGCTTAACAAATGCTAATTGACTAACTTAGAATGCCATCACAATGAATGAAACAATCTCTACTTACAAGAAGCTTATATTCTAATAATTCCTATTATTAATTAGTAAGTAATTCTAATAATAGTGGAAGGAACTTTTGCACTAACAAAATTATGACTCTTCTTACTGGAAAATCTAATGACAAGTAACCTGTATTGGTAAGCAGAATTTCCTCACCCAAGAATTTCCCTATACCCATGAAATCACAGGTGCAGTCCCAGCCCCCATCACTAAATCTTGTTCTAATCCTCTCACCATTCTCGTTGTTCTCTTTTGGACATGTTTCAGTTTGTCAGTGTCTTAGCCCAAAATGGAACACAATACTCCACATGACTAAGCCTAGAGCAGAGTTCAATGGCACTACTAACTTCTTTGACCTGGAGACTGCCTCTGTCAGTGCAACCTGAGATTCTGGCTGCCAGGTTACAGAGTCAGCTCATACTGAGCATGCTTGTGAAGTCCTTAGCAAATTCAAAGTTGTCCAGCCATGCCTCCTCAATTCTAAACTTACAGAGTTGATTTGACATTTAATTTGAAGCCAATTATCCTTTTTCCCTTGCCTTTCCTTCAACAGACTAAACATCTTCACTTCCTTCAAACCATACGGTAGTTTCCCAGTGTCATCTTTAGTCCAATCTCCCTTTGCCATTGTGTCTCGTCTTTATATCCCCAACACTTAGTTCCTTGGACGCAGCAGACACTTTAAAAATGCTTAAGGAATTAAACAGAAGTAATAAAATGAGGAAAGGGAAAAAATTATTGTACCTTGAATATGGGGGCCACGGATAAAGAACAAAATAACAAAGAAGCAGAGGAATGAGAATAGAGGGCAACATTTTAAATCACTTTTCTATCTGAACTAGAGAAAAGGAGTTTTGGTTTTGTTTGTTTGTTTTGGCAATTGGGGCTAAATGAGTTGCCCACATAGCTAATCAGTGTCAAGTGTTTGGTCTGAGGCCTAGATTTGAACTCAGGGCCTCCTGACTTCAGGGCTGGTGCTCTATCCATTGTGCTACCTAGCAGCCCCAGATGAGAAGTTTTGAAAAGATCATATCAATAAAAGTAGAATCCCAGAATCTTGCATTTATGGGAACAGACATGAGGGTATGGAGAGTCTAGGACTGGATTGATACTAGTGAGCTGACTTTTAAAAAGGAGGCTTAACAAACAACAGGATGAGGAATAGGGGAAAAGAAACTTACCAGTTATAACCATGAGCATAAACATTGAACTACAGACTACGGGGAAAATTTTTGCAATTAAACATTTCTGATGAAAGTCTGACATGTAAAATCTACAGAGATTGGCACGGATTTATAAGGTTAAGAGGAATTCTTCTCAATAGATAAATGGTCAAGGACTATGAACAGGCCTTTTCCTTTTGTTTTACTTTTTGTTTTTATATCATCTTCATTAGCAAATGTATTCCTGCTGTCTTTCCTCCTCTCCCCTGAGTCATTCCCTGTAACATTTTTTTAAAGATAGATAAAAAGGTGGAGCTTAGGGGGAAAAAAGGCAATTTAGAAAAACTAACCAATACATCAATCAAGTCTGACAGCATAAGCAATTGAATAGGCATTTTTCAAAAGAAACCTCAGTTAACACCAATAATTTGAATGAATAATCAAAAAGTACAAATTAGCTTAATTCCTAAGTATCACTTTAGAGACCATCAAATTCACACAAATGGCCAAAGATTTTTTTTTAAATCAGTTGTTGGCAAGACTTTTGGGAAAATTAACACCCTAAAAATTCACTGCTAATGGAGCTGTGAATTTGCTAAGAATTTTAGAAAGAAATATGGAATTATACATTAAAAGTGAACAAAAAATTTTGTACTCTTTAATCCAGCAAACCTACTATTAGGCTTTTAACCCTAGGTAGTAATTGATACGAAGAGACCAATATGCAAAAATATTCATAGCAGTACTATTTGTAATAGCTGAAAAGCTGGAAACAAGCTATGTGATTTGAGGAATGGCTGAATAAATTGTGGCACATGGATGTAATGGACTATTCCTAAGCCATAAGGAGTGACACACATTGCAAATTTGAAGAAATGGCGAAATATTCAGATAGAATCTATGCAAAGTAAAGAAAGTAAAATCAAAGGAACAATATACAATCTAACTACGATGAAATAAATGAAGGCATTAAAGAACAACAAATCTCAGATAAATATGAAAGTAGGTATTGGTATTGCCTCATCAACACTGAAGCACACAGCCTCCAGGTCCCCCTTCCTCCCACCTTTTTTTGGGAGGTGTAGGTCACCAATCTATCCATGATATTACTTCCAGACTTATTTTCCTTATGTACAAATCTAGTTATATTAAGCTTCTGCTCAAAACCAGATAATTGTTTCCTACTACACACCACATCAAGTTCAATCTCTAACTTGGCACAGATTCTCCACAATATGGCACCAGTTTAATTTTCTAGTCTTATCTCATATTTGAGAAGAGAGAAAGCTTTATCCTTTGTATACACACTCAGTTCCATCCCAGCAGCCAGTTAAAAGACTTCATCACCACGCAGAAAGCCAACAGGAAATACAGCATATGTACACATGCTTTGAATTGGTGCTAACCCATCCCATCATGAATTTCTAGAAACAGGCTCACCAAGCCTCCACATGGGTTGATATTGCATATGTTCTAAGGACTGGGACCTCCTTGGATAGTCTCATCTCCCTTCAGTTCCACCATT